CAACAGGTTTCTTCTTTCTTGATAATAATTTATTGTGCAACTTTGTCTTTCTAACTGACATTTAACCACATAAGAACTACTCTGCCATTCTTCTTTGATCCAAATTCAGTCTGCTCTCATCTTAGCTAGTTTATTACCTTCACTGCAAAGATAATCTACCTCTTTTAGCCCAGTTTTATTCCTAGGCTCTTCCAACCATAATAATTCCCCGTGGGACTCCTTGCTTCCTGCTGTCTATTCACATGTTGCTGCAAACTAACAAATATTGGGTAATTACACTCACCAGTCTTCGACCTTTTCTGATGTAAACTAACAGCTCTTTATTTCTCCAGTTACATTGGAAATGTTCCCATTTTTACACAATATTGCAGGAGTACTTCACAGAACGTATTGCTAAGGGTTTTTTGGGAGGGGTGGTTGGGGGGATTCCCATCAGACATTCTGACTTGTACAACTGTGGGGCCATCATCAGTCTGCTGCTGATCTGCTGAGACTTCTGCCCCAAATCTGTGGGATTCTTCTTATCACTAACTTTACATCATAAATCTTGAGATGTTTCTAAAGATTTACTTGCAAATGAAAGTATGTATTCAACATTGCAGACATGGCTATGACTCATCAATAATTATTTATGCTTCATTAGTCATCATTTAATTTTTGCATAAATACTAAAATTATACAGTCTCCTTTAAATGGTTTAGGTTTGTTTTAGCTGCTCAGTAGCAGGGCATATAGCAGGCATGTAGGAGCAAATTTGCGCTCAAACTTCCCCTTCCCAGCATTACAAGGGCATCCTACTATAGAGAGATTTGTGGAGACTCCAGGAATAGGACCTAGTTAAGCAAGGGGTTTAGGCATGTAATTAAGGAAGGGGTTAGGCATGAGACCACTCACATGCTTAAAGTGAGGCATGGGCTTAAGTACTTTGTACAAAATCTGGGCCATAGGGCACAACCCGTTTTACATCACAGTAATTTACAGTGACACCTTAAATGAATTCCATACACATTTATCCAGCTCTGGAGTTGAGATAAGGCAAGTGGGAAACAACAAGAGCAGGAAAATCAATTTCTTTCCACCCTAAGCTGCATGAGAAGAAAATGATATTGGGAGAATGGGAGGACCAAGACAAGGCCTGTCCTGGGGTGAAATGGAGGAAAAGTCAGAGTGAGCATAAAGATAACATTTATATATATATTATCCCTTTCAGTGCTTGTTTCTTACAAACATCAGATGGTGAGGGTGTGGTCTCCAAGAGCAAGTTACTGCATTAAGATAAATCAGTTCAAGTGCAATTTATTAGGGGTTTGCCCCAATGTAACTAGATAGATTGTTAGCTTTAGCAGTATAAGGATTCTCTTGTAGAACATGTCACAGGTGCAACGGTTACTGCCACCAAGCCTGCCAGTATTTTCCCTGACACTTCCTTTCTCTCTCAATCTACTCTGAGACTGCATTTAAAATTACACTAATCCATTCAATAATTTAAAACAGTACAGTTGCATTTTCCCTGAACAATAGTGTGCTGTTTGTTTTCAGCCTGCCCACTCTTCTAATTAATCTCCCGGTTACACTTTTATTCAGAGGAATAGGTAAATGTTTTAACTGTGCTGAGTCAATATTTGTGTACAGTGTAGTTATGAAACTGATTCAAAACCTTTGTTGCTGACTGTGTCTTTTCTATGCCCAGGATCTGGGCATTTGTTTGATGCTTCAGATATCTTGGTAGAGATATTTGGATTGCTATTAATGTGGAAGACAAGTGTCATAGAAGGGGTCGAATCTCCTGATTGTGTTTCATTCCAACTGTCAAGTACCTAGATTTTTCACTGGGAGTTTTGTCTTTTTCCTTCTCAGTTACTTTCCCCAGTGTATTTATCCTGCACAGAGCATATTGTGCTAAATCTTCTATATTGGGTTACTCTGGGAGCTGACTTTTTTTCCAGCACTGGGCCTCTATAGCAGAAAAAAAGGATAGAGGTTTGGCTACTAGAGTAAATGGAAACTCCTCCTCATCTATCTGCTCTCTACCAAACAGAGGTAAACAGCCTCTAGTAAATCTGATGATGTTGCAGCTCCTTTCTGTCTCTCATAAGTCACAGTGGAAGGATTCATACTTCATTTTTGTGGCATAATGTCAAGTGTGTCAGCCATGCCAAACCATCACCATCACATATGTAAACACTTGAACTTTCCCTCTGCTTCCTAAAATTGCACATCTGTGTTCCATGTAAATAAATAAGGAAGCCTGGGATTCCCTGTTTCTCAAATAGCGTCCTTGTTCTCATTTCCTAGAACATGCTATGTTAATTGCTTTGCTAGGAGCAGATCTGGGTCATCACTTGAAAATGAAGTTGTTATAAAATGGCCGTGTTGACAGATGGCACAAATGGCATAGCTAATCAAATCTACTCCAGTGTTTTCATGGCAGTAGGGAATTATTGCCATGCCAGTAAATGAAAGTCTTATAAATGCCTAATGTAGAGCAGGCGGTGTGCTGTTGTAATGACAGGTTCCAGAATCCTAACTCAGAGATGCAACAGTGATTATATCCTCTAAGACTGGCATTTCCTTGACATGTGTCTCAGAAATATTTTGCAGACAATTTGTTTGGAGCCAAAACTATCTAATTACTGATAAAGCTGCTTTCCCATAATATTGTTTGGGATCACCAGTGTGTCAGCAGAAAGTGCTAAATAAGCAGTGTCTAGCCTTTCAAATTCTTTAGGGGGCAGTAATCTCAGGAATGTTTGTTTTACATGTTTTCGATAGGAGCTGTTGCAAATCCTTTCATAGAGCATGGCTGTATTGTTAATTATGACAAATTATATTGCCTACTGCAATATTTCAATGGTTTGCCAAAAAGAAACTTCAAAACAGTAAATGAGTAAGTCTGGGATAAGTTTTATTCATTCAACCTAATGAATTTTAAATTTGGCACCATCTCGATCCAAGATATAATACAAGATGGTCCTAGATCAGGGGTAGGCAACCTATGGCACGCATGCCGAAGCTGATTTTCAGTGGCACTCACACTGCCCGGGTCCTGGCCACCAGTCCAGGGGGCTCTGCATTTTAATTTAATTTTAAATGAAGCTTTTTAAACATTTTAAAAACCTTATTTACTTTACATACAATAGTTTAGTTATATATTATAGACTTATAGAAAGAGACCTTCTAAAAACGTTAAAATGTATTACTGGCACGCAAAACCTTAAATTAGAGTGAATAAATGAAGACTCGGCACAGCACTTCTGAAAGGTTGCCGACCCCTGTCCTAGATACTGCTGGACTCCAGTAAGTGTGGGTGTATAATCTGGCAGTAATTATCTGTGTATAATAATATACTGTGGGGTTGGGTATTTAAGTTTCTAAACATTGGGCCTAATTTTCAGAAGTGCTGAGCCCCCAGCTCTGACTGAAATAAAAAAAAACCTGCAGGTGCTTAGCCCCTCTGAAAATCAGGCTCTTCTTAGAGTTGGGCAAATATGGTATTGGCAAAGCCATTCAAACATCATTGAAAATTAGGGACTGAATGAGCCTTTTGAGTGTCACATGCAGGTAAGAACCTGGCTTTCACCAGTTCCATTCTGCTCAGGCAAGTCACCCCTCATCTCCCAGTGAGAGAGGAGAACCCTGAGATTGGGAGAAGAGGACACCATCCCTCACCCAGCTTGACACTCCTTCCTTGGCCCCCAAGTGAAGGCAAGGATAAACACACCCCACTGTGGCCTCTGTCAGAGTGGGGTGTGTGTGGAAACTCATAGCCACCAAAATTCCATGTTACCACCAAATTTGGGAAACCACAAACTTTTTTAGAAAAGGGTTCGAGTGGCCTCCATAGTCTTTTGACCATCCCTAAATGTTTCATGGTTTTAAAAAGATGTCTAGGCACCTTTTAATTATGAAGGGCCAAATAATACCATCCAAATATAGCTAATTGGAGCTGTGGGGGAGATTCCTTATGCTTGGTAATGTGAAGAAAAAGAACTCAAAACAACATAGGTGCCAAAAGTGTTTCACCTGTTGCAGTCTTGTACTTGAAAAAGCCCCCTTTTGTTTTGTTCCTTTTACTGACCTTTGTGTCCCATTGTACTCGAACCATGTTGTGCCCATTTATGCTATGGTACATTATCCCTGGCATGACATAATGCAACATAGTGCCATGCAAAGCCATTTGCTAAACAAATGTGGGCAAAATTTTCAAAGCAGTCTTTGGAAGTCTAGCCACTTGCTTGCCTTTTTAATATAACTGCATCTCTATAGCTCCTTCCGTTGAGGGATCTCAAAGTGCTTTACAACCATTAATGAACACTCCTGTGAGGTGGGGAGGTTTATGGGACTCATTAACTTAAAACATTACAAGTTGCTTTGAAAGTTTTCTCATTATTTACTGAAATGAGAGGATTTTTAAAACAGGTTATTAACTTCAGTTAATTTGGCAAGAAATTCGTATGTAACCTAAATTGTTTCAGCTAGTAAGGAGATTGAAGCAGCTCTACAGTATTTGCAGACTGCCACTGGGAGTGTTCAGTTGGCTTGTTATATAATCCTGGCATGTTGATTGTACAGCAGTGAGTGTCTTGATGTCTCAGATCACCTAGCCTGATAAAAGGAGAGCAGTAATGACTGATACATTATATCCTTTCTGCTGTTGCTTTTTACAGACTAAGAAGAAGCCAGGACAGAATGAATGTAATGACTTAATTCTATATGCTTGAGATCAAACTTAAGTCTACTTGGTGCAGAGAAGCAATTAACCGTCAAAAGGGTTGGATACTCTGATATCTAAAAAATGTCTAACTAAAATAAACACCCTTAGATGAAAAGAGCTAAATGATTTAATCATATTTCAGTCAACACACTGTGCTAATCATTCAGATTATAAAATAAATCAATTAATTACAGTATCTCTGTCTCTCTCCCCCCCCCCCAACCCCACCTTCCCTACCTCTTTCTATTTCCATCTGGACTGCGTTTATCTCTTTCATCATTTAAAGATGCTCGAGTGGATTTGATCGCCACCGGCAAGATTGGGTAGACAGTGGCTGCCCTGAAGAGGTAAGAATGTGCTTTACAACCTTGATATGACCACCAAAGGAAATTTGCATAGTTATTATTAGGGCCCTACCAAATTCATGGTCCATTTTGGTCAATTTTATGATCATAGGATTTTAAAAATCATAAATTTCATGATTTCAGCTATTTAAATCTAAAATTTCACAGTGTTGTAACTGACCGAAAAAGGAGTTGTAGGGGGGGTTGCAAGGTTATTTTAGGGGGGTTACGATACTGCTACCCTTCTGCACTGCTGCTGGTGGCAGTTCTGCCTTCAGAGCTGGGCAGCTGGAGAATGGCGGTTACTGGCCAGGAGCCCAGCTCTGAAGGCAGAATCACTGCCAGCAGCAGCCATGCAGAAGTAAGGATGGCACAGTATGGTATTGCCACCCTTACTTCTGCGCTTCTGACTGCAGAGCTGGGCCCTCGGTCAGCAGCCGCCACTCTCTGGCCACCCAGCTCTGAAGACTGCAGCGCAGAAGTAAAGGGTGGCATGGTATGGTATTGCCACCCTTACTTCTGCGCTGCTGCTGGCAGGGCACTGCCTTCAGAGCTGGGTGCCCAGCCAACAGCTGCCACTCTCCAGCTGTCTAGCTCTGAAGGCAGTACAGAAGTAAGGGTGGCAATACCGCAACCTCCGTAAAATAACTTTGTGACCCCCACTGAAACTCCCTTTTGGTCAGGACTCCCAATTTGAGAAACACTGGTCTCCCCCATGAAATCTGTATAGTAGAGGGTAAAAGCCCCCAAAAGACCAGATTTCATAGGGGAAGATCAGATTTCACAGTCCATGATGTATTTTTCATGGCCGTGAATTTGGTAGGGTCCTAGTTATTATGCCTCTGATTACATTCTGCAGATTATTAAGCAGCATTTTTTAAGGCCAAGTGCATGCTACAATTATCCATATACATTACTTAAAAATTGAGTAGGTTGTATTAAAGAAACACTAGGCTGAGCAATGTCATTATTATTTGAAGGTATAAAATGGGCATAATATGATTTTTTTATTTCCATGGAAATATGGTAAACCCAAAATTAATGCAACGAAAAGGCTAATGCTAAACTTGTGACCCTGGTTTGATTGTTGTAGCACTAAGATTCTCATCAGAATGATGGCAGAGGCTGAGCTGTAGTTGCCAACTGCCCTTGAACCTTCCTTGCCTTTGCTCCTCCCCATTTTAGTTGTATGAAAATAGATCCTTGACGGACTCTACAAGAATAGCTCTAGCTAAAGATACAGCCCGAGCATTTTGGTTATGAATTCTGGCCAAGCCTTTAGCATTAAGTACAGATTTTGCTGTTACTCGTTCTTAAAGACTTGATACATTCAGTTCTCCTTTAAAAAAAGAAAACAACAATAGATATCTGACATGAGGGAGGGTGGGCGGCGATCCTGGGACTGCTGTTGACTACAGGAGATGCAGCCAGAGGGTAAGAAGGCCCAGAGCGGGTCATTTTCAAGTCACATTCATTAGTATCTTACATTATGTTGGTCCTTTCCCAGTGGCCTCATTGTACAAGTTTTTTTCATGTGAGGATTTGTGGTAATATGAACTCCTCGTTGTTTTTGCTAATTCATCTAACAGACTTTGATTCTCTCAAAGGCTGATAAAGAGCAATTACTTTCCCTTTTTCAGCACTAAGGGCCAAATTCTGTCTTCAGTTACAACAGCGCAGCCCCAGTGACAGGATACGTCAGGGTATAATTAAAGGCAAAGTATGTCCCCAAGTGTCTGTTTAGAAAAGCATGCTTGATTTTAGTCTCAATAATTGAGTCCAACGCATACACTGATATGAGCCCATTGTGGTGTGGGTATTTTTTTGTTGGAGTTTTTCCTCTTATATAGCCTTAATTGCAAAGTAATGCTGGGTGATTAGGTACAATAATTACATGCTAGCTGGTTGTTATAAAGGCTTGTAGCTTCAGCTTTGCAATTTGCAAACTGAATGTCTAGTGATGGGGTTGCCCTCAGAGTTTTAGTGCTCAGAGAGGTAACTTTTTGAGAACGTGCAATTAAGGCTACTAGTAAATCTATCAGTATGGGGCAGAACCTCACAGAATGGTCTCGGATTGAAGGATACTGATGGCCACAGGCCTCTGTTGTGGGTCACACAATGCCACCACACCCCACCAGGACCTCTGGGAGGCATTTTGTCTTAGGCATATACAATGCCTTCCTGAGCTCTGGGGAATGCTGGTGGACCCTGGCTGCTTGGGCAGATTGTGTCGGCAGCTCCTATCTGCACCCATCCAGTTCTGCTGGCTAGTGACCTCTCCCCTCTTTGCCAAGATCTGTACTAGCAATGCTAGCTCTGTGAAAGGCTTGCATTCCCAGAGCACAAGGCCTCTTTCAGTGAGCTGCGAAGGGGAGAGAGAAGAGATACTCATGCCCCCTCCCTCCTCCCTCCCTTGGGGACCTACAGAGGATGCACTCTTTCTGGCCCTATATATTTAGATATACACATAATACCTGACCTACCTATCAAAAATATTACTAACATGGGGTTGAATTTGAATGAGTTACTGTGTTTTGTGACTAGGAGAGCAACCTTATCTTTGGCATCTCCTGGGGATTTTTTTTTCTATTTAAATATATAATATTAACATAAGGACTTGGGTTGGGTTTTTGAGGTGGGGATGGAAGGTGGTGGAAGGGTTGTTTGTTTTGGGGTTAGTATTCGGGTGTTGGTTTTTTTCATTTAATTTCCTAGTTTGCTCTTAGAAAAGAAAGGGTAGAGGGAAGAAAGGACAGGAAAATAACCTTGCATGTCAAAAGTGAAACAATACACACTTGTTTTTGAAGTTCACATTTCACTGAGATGAACACACTGCCAGGAAGCAAAGTTCACAACTCCCTGAACAGAATGATGTATGCCGGGTGTGGGTCGGGGGTAGTTCAAATATTTGCTGCTGTTTGGCTGGAAATATTTTTCTGCAAAACTGTATTACAGATGCACTGCAATGCAAAGCAAAACAAAACAAAAAAGGTTTTAATCTTTACTCCTACTGAATATATAAATGTGACCTCGAGTTAAAAATGTATACATGTGTATGTCTGTGTATACATATGTACATACTCACATATGTGATTTATTATATAAAAATAAAAAGCAAAGCTAACTATTTATATGTGAAGCTATTTTATATATATAATTATTATTGTCTTTGGTAATTTCCAAGGAAAATGTAATTAATTAAAAATTACAATTAACTATACCTTATTTTTTGTGCTATACCATATTTTCAGTATTTTTATTTTACCCAGTCATGTATTTTGCTATGACATGTTTTATGGCACCCAGAAAAAAAGATCGATTGAGGTGTGCATTTCAACTACAATAGCAAAAAAAGAACAACCCTCTCCCCAAAAGTAACTTCCTAGTGATGAATTTAGATGTTAAAACTTTGTGGCAGTAATAATATGCATTCGGTATTCAGAGCCTTCACAGCTTTGTCATCAACAGTTTAGGCATTGTAAATTTTCCAGTTCAATGGAATACCTGTCATTCTACAGAACCTTGTGCAAAGTATTTCACTTTAAAAATAAATACATAAACTCTCCAAATATTCCTTGATTTAGTTTCCATTTTCATTCTTTCTGGCTTGGCAGTTTGTCCATATTCAGACTTTTAGTTCAGTGACAAATGGTCTCCACTGAAAACTAATTTTCTTCTGGCTTGTTTTTGGTGTTTCTCAATAGTCGAAAGATAAGGTCTGTGAGAAGAATGTGGACACAACTGAGAAGCCCCCTCATACCACCACTTCCCTCCAGCCAACTACCACGAGGTTCAGAGTTTTAACCACCACCAAAGGAGCCACTACATCCCACCTGCCAACCAGCCTGCCCACAGAAGGTGGCTTACCATGGAATGCTTTAGTCCATAATGAAAAGTTGTCTTATTTACAATGTTAAGGAGCAAACAAATCTTTTTATTGTTTAAGTTTGCGGGGGGAGGAGGCAGGAGTATTGTTTGGTTTGTTTGTTTTTGGTTTTTGGAGGGAGAAAACTTAGCATGGAGCAAATATCTGAAGGGCTTTGTATGTTTCCAAAACAAGAAGCTTGGATAGTGATGAAAACCAAAGCCCTAATTTTTCTTCTTAGACAAATGACACAAACTCTGTGTCTTCAAACAGCTCTGCCTGAGCTTCTTAATTCTAACTGCTACATCCTGGCTGCCACTACTGCTATCTTGGCCAATTCTCTGCTCCCACTATGTTCAGTTGGAGTTATTTGTATTACAGTAACACCTAGAGGTCCCAGCAAGGTTGGAGGCTTCATTGTGCGACGCGGTGTACAGACATATGGTAAAAGACAGTCAACATTTCAAAGAATTTACAGTTATGAAGCTTAGGAGGTTATTGGTGCTCATCGGAAAAATCAGTCCATATGGGCCCGAAGCAAAGCCCATTGACGTCAATGGAGAGACTCTCATTATTGACTTCAGTGAGCTTTGGGGCGGGTCCTGAGGGTCCAATGTTGGCCATCCGAAAACAGAGACACTCAAAATTAAAGATTTCTTTCGAAATTTGGCACTAACCTTTTGCGCCAGTACTGACTGCAGTATTCTTTTCCAGAAAGACCCTTTTCTTTAGGGTCCCAAAGCAAAGTAACAGGATTGAGAGATAATGTGGGAACTCACATTTGTAGCTGTTCCTCTGACTTCAGAGCTTAAACCTTGCCATCCTGCAGATAAGATAGTCTAGCCTCCTGCATCTGGTAGAAGTTCAGCTGGATAGAAAAGCTACCTACAATGAATCAAGTAGCAACTATAAAGTATAATGGCAGCTCTTCTTCTAGCAGAATTGCCTGTTAATATAATGGAAGCTGTACAGTGTGGCCAGAATTTTTTAATAGATTCTGGCAGGAACATTTCTAGCTTCTAAGATATTCAAGCATTAAGCCTAAAACTGAAGACGTTACAAGGTGGGAGTCTATTGATGAAAAGGACTAGTTTTCATTGCAGCAAAGCAGCAAGAAAAGTTTAGAAGCTGTCACTACAGGATTTGTAGCTTTATTCCTGAATGCTCATTTGCTAATAATGCCCCAGATATTTGGCTCATCCAATGTACAAGTAATAAGAGAAATCTGGAAATATATAGAGACTTTGAAACTGGTATATTATATTATTATTTCTTATGGGAACAGTTAATAATTGTTTTATTTTACTGTCAAATGCTACCTGAGTCCTGAATATGTCATGTGACCTACAGAGTCAGTCATACAAATAATCATACTTATATTACATATACATGACAAAGGTAAAGGTGCTTTTAAAAGCTATGGGCCAGAGGCTCATACCTTTATTCATTTTGAATTCTACCTTACTCCACTGTCTTAGTACTATTAGACGAGTAAGGTACTACTCAGTGTGAAGAAGAGGATCAAGCCCTATATGAGTAGAACACCAAATTCTATTCTGATGGTTAAATCTGTTGGACATTAGAATATCATTAAAGAGATCTATGACCTAATTAAACTAGGTTTCCTGTATTAGTAATGGTGAATTTCTTTTTTAGATGATACCAAGATAGCACTGCACCTAAAAGATAATGGAGGTAAGAGGTAATTTTTGTGTGTGTGTAAACAATGTCAATAGGTTACATAACTACAGCCTGCTCAGCTTAATTAATCTAAATCAGAGTGTAGAAATGTCTTATACCAGGCCCCCAAGGGACTTAAATTATCCACATCTCTATGGCAGAGTACCATGGCAAAAAGGCTAAGCAACTGCTTAGTAAATCAAATGTTTACAACAGTCTTTATAACTCATTAGTGTAACAGTAAAATAACTTTAGCATTCAAAAAGTTGATCTATTAAAGGCAAAAATCTAGGGGAGAAGATGATTTGGGGAGTGGGGCTGGTGAAAGTTTTTTAATAACAGTATTCATATATGTGTTCCGTTGTGATACATTCTTTATAAGGTACTATAAGCTACAGTATTTGTTTTTATCACAGTTTACAGTTGTTATCCGCATGTATTCTCCGATTAGGAATATAATATTATGGCCCCTTTCCAATGGAGCTCTTCAAGAGACCACCCCCCACAGTCCTCTTGGCAGTATCAGCATCTCAGTTCATGCTCCCTTTGGAATTGTTGAGAGTTTTGCCATTGACTTCAAGAGAAGTAGGATTGAGTTACTAAACCAGGGGTGGGCAAACTTTTTGGCCCAAGGGCCACATCTGGGTATGGAAATTGTATGGTGTGCCATGAATGCTCACAAAAGTGGGGGTTGGATGCGGGAGAGGGTGAGGGCTTCAGCTGGGAGGGTGCGGGTTCTGGGGTGGGCCAGAAATGAGGAGTTCAGGGTGCGGGAGGGGGCTCCGGGTTGCGGTGCGGGGGGGGGGTAAGGGCTCTGGCTGGGGGTGAGAGCTCTGGGGTGCTCTTAGAATCATTGAATCATAGAATATCAGGGTTGGAAGGGACCTCAGGAGGTCATCTAGTCCAACCCCCTGCTCAAAGCAGGACCAATTCCCAACTAAATCATCCCAGCCAGGGCTTTGTCAAGCCTGACCTTAAAAACCTCTAAGGAAGGAGATTCCACCACCTCCCTAGGTACCCATTCCAGTGCTTCTCCACCCTCCTAGTGAAAAAGTTTTTCCTAATATCCAATCTAAACCTCCCCCACTGCAACTTGAGACCATTACTCCTTGTTCTGTCATCAGGTATCACTGAGAACAGTCTAGATCCATCCTCTTTGGAACCCCCTTTCAGGTAGTTGAAAGCAGCTGTCAAATCCCCCCTCATTCTTCTCTTCTGCAGACTAAACAATCCCAGTTCCCTCAGCCTTTCCTCATAAGTCATGTGCTCCAGCCCCCTAATCATTTTTGTTGCCCTCCGCTGGACTCTTTCCAATTTTTCCACATCCTTCTTGTAGTGTGGGTCCCAAAACTGGACGCAGTACTCCAGATGAGGCCTCACCAATGTCAAATAGAGGTGAATGATCATGTCCCTCGATCTGCTGGCAATGCCCCTACTTATACAGCCCAAAATGCCGTTAGCTTTCTTGGCAACAAGGGCACACTGTCGACTCATATCCAGCTTCTCATCCACTGTAACCCCTAGGTCCTTTTCTGCAGAACTGCTTCCTAGCCATTCGGTCCCTAGTCTGTAACAGTGAATGGGATTCTTCTGTCCTAAGTGCAGGACTCTGCACTTGTCCTTGTTGAACCTCATCAGGTTTCTTTTGACCCAATCCTCTAATTTGTCTCTTGACGGGTTCGGAGGGTGGGAGGGGGTCTGGGGTGCAGGTTCCGGGCAGCGCTTACCTCAAGTAGCTCCTGGAAGCAGCGGCACATCCCCTAATCTGGCTCCTACACGGAGGCACGGCCAGGTGGCTCTGTGTGCTGCCCCATCCGCAGGCGCCGCCCCTGCAGTTCCCATTGGCCCCATTTGCTGATGGCAGCGTATGGAGCCCCCTGGCTTCTCCTGTGCGTAGGAGCCGGAGGAGGGACATGCTGCTGCTTCCAGGAGCTGTGAGGAGCAAGCCCCTGACCCTGCTTCCAGGAGCTTGAGGGCCGGATTAAAATGTCTGAAGGGCCGGGTGCGGCACCCGGGCCATAGTTTGCCCACTCCTGCACTAAACATAGCTCATTGAAGCCAATAGAAAGATTCCTATTGACTTCAGTGAGCTTTGGATCAGACCCTCAGGGTGAATGCTGATTTGCTCTGCATGACGAAATGCACTGGACCTGCCCTGCTGTAAAGGGAAGCTTTACTGTTGATACTAGTTACCTTTTCCGGGTCTTGTATAGTTGTCTTAGGCTTGAAATAATGTGTGGTGTCCATGTTGCCCTTGACATTCTGGATTGCTTTTTTGCTGCACGGTTCACCAGTGGTTTACATGAGTGGATTTTTTATTTAGTTCCCCCCCACACCCCAAGTTAAATATCCCCTCTCTGTATCATTTTTCCAGTCGCTCGTCTGTCTGGATAACATCTTCACCTCACTATCAATAGCAACAGCACAGCTAGGAATGTATTGAACTTTGCCTCATGCAGGGCTGTTCATTTGTTGTTAATTGGCATGGGATTTGAAATATAACTGGAAACTCTGAATAAGGTAACTTACAAATTAACCATTTAACAACTTTATTAAAAGGGATACTGCTATGGTTGGTCAGCCCCACATTTGACTTGTTCTTTCCCTTGTTTGTTTTTGAAGTTGTTATACTTTGTTTTATCAAAACAAATGCTTCAATGCTCTTCTTCTTAAAGAGCATAATAGTATAAAGTTGCATCAAATCCAAACAATATATTTTTTTAAAATAAATTCCAGTTCTCTCCCACACTGGGGGAGTTACTTCAAACACCGTATTTAGCTTGCCTCCTCTTGCCTAAGATCTGAGAAGGAAATCTCTGAAATGGAAAGGAAAATGTTCAAAACCAAGAGGAAGAACTCTGATGTAGTCCCTTGGTAGAATGTGTGGTATGGCTTTCTTTAAGCCTAGGTAGGCAGTTTCAGTGCATAAAGCTGCTTGATTTCAAAAATAGAAACCAACAGCTATAGATTCACTTTTCTTGGGTTAGTTCTTGAAATAAAAAAGAAGGTGGTGATATGGCTTCAAACAGTACGGAAGCAAAGTCACTCAGCAGGATTTCTCATTCACATAGTAAACGTAGCTTTTAATCTGGGAAGTTCTTCATGAATCTTCAATTATGCATTGAGTTTTACAATAGCCCTTAGATTAGGCTCTGATAAAACCTCTGTAGCCACAGGTCTGTTCTTTGATTCACTGTGATTTGTCAGCCTTTCATAAAGAGAAGAAGATTCCAGGTCAACTAAATACAGAGTCTTTAGCCTTTCCAAACTAGATCCTGTAAAACTCAAATCAAAGTGAACCTTTTGTAATGGAAAACTAAGCTATATCTGATCAATAAGGACCTATAGCTAGATGTGTCCTTGGATGATAGCAGTCAATAGGTGATTAGGTACAACAAAAGGATTCTCTATAAATTCTGCATTTCCCCTTTGGCTGGAACTTTTGAGGCCAAATTTTATCAAGCAGTAACTAAATTAAAATTTTAAAGCAGACTGCAGTTGTAGGTCAAACTTCCTTGACCTTTTAGTTATATGAGAAAATCACTTGTAATTTAGTGCTATACCCATTCACATATAACCTTGTGTGACACCTTTTACCATAAATTCCAATTTAGCTTTTATCTATTTCTTCTGCATTTGTTCTTCCATCACTGCACGGCTAAGGATTTTTTACAGTCGGCTAGCTTAACATCACACTTGTTAACTCTTAATTCTATTAAAAGTTTTCAAACTTGAAAAACCTGGTTTAAAAGCTTAGAAAAATTAAAACGTTCTTGTATAATAGCATTGCTATTTTATATTTTATGTTATAAAAGCCCTTCAATCCATTGTTGTTGTTATTTTCCTTTAACTTCATGTGTATCAAAGCTAACATATTTCAAAAGCAGCTACCTAATTTTTCATAAAAGAAGCAGGCAGCTGGCAGTAATAATACAGTAATAGCCCTTTCATGTTGAGAATTCTTGGGTGGATGATTTAGAATCACTCATTCAGGGAAGCTAAAAAATGGAATTTAAATAGTTTGGTTCATGTAGGATGAACTAAGCTTTTCTAGTTTAAAATTATTTATGATTGAGTGAGCCCCTTTTTCATTGAACTAGTTCAAACTGAATTTAGATGAGAACAACAGATAATTGTCCCAGAGTTCTATATATTTGTTTTTTAGATAGTTCATTACCATGATGTGCTAGCTGTAGATTCTTCACTTGTCTTGCGTTTGAGCACTGAGAAAGACAGGAGTTACGTGTAAGGCAATGGCCATGAGAGCAACTGTTGCCATTTTACGTTAGTCAGAATATCTCCTTAAAGAATAAACTTCCATTTGAGAAATGCAAAGCTTCGCAAATTCATCCTGTCTGATGTGCTACTGTGAAATTCGCCCTTGAGCAGAAGACCAACAAAAGACCTGTATTAGCATGTCTGTACTGCAAAGAAAAACCCTTCCTGCCAAGTCTCAGAGCCCAAGTCAATTTGCAGGGATCAGGCGGAGGGGCTAAAAATAGCAGTGTAGACATTCCTGCTTGGGCAAGAGCCCAGGATCTGAGACCATCACCCCTTGCCGGGTTTCAGAACCCAGGCTCCAGCCTAAGCAGGAATGTCTACACTGTTATAAATAAGCCGAGCCCCATAAGCCGAAGTCATTTGACCCAGGCTCTGAGATTCAGCGCCACAGGTTTTTCTTTGCATTTCGTAGACACACCCCATGCCACTTATGTCCTTCTTAAGCTCTCAAAACAGGGCTTTAGCTGGACGTGAGTGTGGTATAAGACATCTGCTGGCCTTTTGTATAGGGTGAAATACAGTGTGTGTAGTATGCAGATGGCCATCAAAAAAAATCAAGTTTTGCAGTCTTGGGGGAAAAGACTGTTGCATATATTTGGTACAATACAGTGTTTATTAAAAAGCAAGATAAGACTGGACTTTTGTAATGGAGCCTAAGGGTTTTAGAGAAACAAGGTGAGTGAGGTAATATCTTTTATTGGAACAACTTCTGTTGGCGAAAGAGACAAGCTTTC